CACAACAGGGTTACTGTAGAAATGACTTACACACGCATGTGCATATACGGCATACGATCGATAGGTCAGCTTCAGTACCAGGGCGTGTATAACGTAACGATCGGGATCGGGGCTGGGAAGATCCGGAATTAATAATGCATCCCTACCCACTTGTAGGACTGTATCAGGTAGAGCGATAAGTATGTCGCTGAGATAGGGTTTGGTTGTGTGATGAATTAACGCAGATGATAATCCAATTGTTTACATGTGGTATACATTACCTGTATATGGACAACAGGTGGCATTCTCCCGAGGACTGGTCCCGAATTCCCTATAGTCTTAAAGGAGTTATAACGACAGGTGGCAGTTATCAATGGATAAATGGAAGCAAAATATCTATGTCCATCATTTACCTGTCACCGTAGTCTCCGTCTTTATAACATACAGTATACATTTGGAGTTGAACACATATAAAACTGATAAAGTATAACAAAAGTTTTTAAGACACTAAAACCCAATTTTTAGAGCCTGGTGGTGACTTTTTTGCTAACCTTACTGACACATTGAATACACAGACAAAAATATTGGTGCGTGATTGTGTCTGATTAGACTTAACTGTATACTATAATTCTCTACTTTGAATACCTATATTTAACTGGGAAAGACTATACTTTACTGTGACTGACAATACTTTACTGTGACTGACAATACTTTACTGTGACTGACAATACTTTACTGTGACTGACAATACTGAGCTGTGACTGACAATACTTTACTGTGACTTACAATACTGAACTGTGACTGACAATACTTTACTGTGACTGACAATACTGAACTGTGACTGACAATACTTTACTGTGACTGACAATACTTTACTGTGACTGACAATACTTTACTGTGACTGACAATACTTTACTGTAAATGACAATACTTAACTGTGACTGACAATACTTTACTGTGACTGACAATACTTTTCTGTAACTGACAATTCTTTACTGTGACTGACAATACTTTACTGTGACTGACAATACTGAATTGTGACTGACAATACTTTACTGTGACTGACAATACTTTTCAGTAACTGACAATTCTTTACTGTGACTGACAATATTTACTGTGACTGACAATACTTAACTGTGACTGACAATACTTTACTGTGACTGACAATACTTTTCTGTAACTGACAATTCTTTACTGTGACTGACAATACTTTACTGTGAATTGTGACTGACAATACTTTACTGTGACTGACAATACTTTACTGTGACTGACATTACGTTTCTGTAACTGACAATACTTTACTGTGACTGACAATACTTAACTGTGACTGACAATACTTTACTGTGACTGACAATACTTTACTGTGACTGACAATACTTTTCTGTATCTGACAATACTGAATTGTGACTGACAATACTTTACTGTGACTGACAATACTTTACTGTGACTGACAATACTTTTCTGTAACTGACAATTCTTTACTGTGACTGACAATACTTTACTGTGACTGACAATACTTTACTGTGACTGACAATACTTTACTGTGACTGACTATACTGAATTGTGACTGACAATACTGAATTGTGACTGACAATACTTTACTGTGACTGACAATACTTTACTGTGACTGACAATACTTTTCTGTAGCTGACAATTCTTTACTGTGACTGACAATACTTTACTGTGACTGACAATACTTTACTGTGACTGATAATACTGAACTGTGACTGACAATACTGAACTGTGACTGACAATACTTTACTGTGACTGACAATACTTTACTGTGGATGATAATGTTTGTTTATACTTGACAATTGATGACGTTGCTTGACCACTGATGACTTTACTTGACTGTTGGTTAAGATATCTGACCTTTAGTGTTTTACTTGACCATGGTTGACTATATTTGACCGTTGGTGACCATACTTGACCATGATTGAGTAAACTTGGCCGTTGGTAACTGTACTTGGCCCTTGGTTACTATCCTTGACCGTTGGTGTCTATTCTTGACCGTTGGCCACTAAACTTGACCTTTGGTGACCATACTTGACCATGATTGAGTAAACTTGGCCGTTGGTAACTGTACTTTGCCCTTGGTTACTATCCTTGACCGTTGGTGTCTATTCTTGACCGTTGGCCACTAAACTTGACCTTTGGTGACCATACTTGACCATGATTGTGTATACTTGGCCGTTGGTAACTGTACTTGGCCCTTGGTTACTATCCTTGACCGTTGGTGACTATTTTTGTCCGTTGGCAACTAAACTTGACCTTTGGTGACTATACTTGGCCATGATTGAGTGTATTTGGCAGTTGGTAACTTTATTTGGCCCGTAGTTACTATACTTGTCGTTTGGTGACATACATGACCGCTGGTGGCTATAAATAAGGACAGGTAACCATATGTCAATGCATGAACCTGTATACCAAGTCTGTCTTACAGAAGAGCCAAAAATTATCGCTGTTAAGGTTACGTTAATCTAACCTCCGTTGGTTTTATAGAACTACTTAGCAATTAACTACGCATTGAAAAGTCATGTTATGGCGTTTATGGTAGTTATAAATCACAGATCTTTGAAAGCAAACATCATACTCCTCTCTAGTGTGATATATGATACTGTAATTTAAAAGGCTTTATTAATGCTATGACAAGGCAGTTCAAATTTTATATTTATATACCCTTCTCATGTCGCTGTCGTATACCGCTAAATATCTGCTTAAAAATGGATTTAAACTTAAACTCCCGGTCAAGATGAACAATCATTTTAATGGCGAGTCGACCACCATAATGACGTCATAACGACCACGTGATTAGTATCACTTATCGTAAATTACACTTCTTGTTGGCTGGTTTATAAAAGAAATAAAAAGTATTAAGAATTATTTTTAGATTATTCACGACATCAATGTAATATAGATAATGCACACGGCGAGTAAGAAATGTTCCACTTTTCCTTTTCTTTAATTATCTAACTTAATTTCTCATTGTTTTAACTGCTGTAATGCGTGTTGTCTTTTACTATAAAACTTGCTTACTTGCTTTTACAATTTGCAATAAGACAATGGAATTGATTCATAAAAATACAGTTCTTTTGAGAATTACTTGTAGAAAAAATAATAAATATTCTATTAAACTAGCATTATCTTCACGCACAATTTAATATGACTGCCATGATGTGTGTGTATGTTGTATGTGTGTGAAAGAGATATGTTCAATGTTACTTTATAAAATGAACATAGAGACGCGTAGCAAATACGATGCTTTGACTAGTGTCCTTTACATCACCTTAAGTTGTAATAAACACATAATGCATTATGGATCGATCTCTCTATCTATCTCCACCTTTCACGAATGATGCTATTTAAACAGAAAGGTATGTTTTACAGCTAATGAAAATCTTTTCATATGTATAAATCACATTGTACGATAGTACCGACATTATGGCCATAATCCTTATAATTGCCATTAGTTTTGAGCATGTTTCTGTAATATCTGAGTTAAGATTGTATCTTATTTATAAGTCAACATCGAAATATTGGTTCTAATCTAAAAAAAAGAGGGGACTTTTCAATGAAAATTCAAAATATTGACATACTGTGTCCCCTGTGTTGACAAAATATTGAAAGACTGTGTCCCCTCCGTTGACAAAATATTGACAGACTGTTAGTGTCCCCCCGTTGACAAAATATTGACAGACTGTTAGTGTCCCCCCGTTGACAAAATATTGAGGGACTGTTAGTGTCCCCACCGTTGACAAAATATTGACAGACTGTTAGTGTCCCCACCGTTGACAAAATATTGAGGGACTGTTAGTGTCCCCACCGTTGACAAAATATTGACAGACTGTTAGTTTCCCTCGGTGACAATATATTGAGGGGTTAGCGTCCCCTCCATTGACAAAATATTGACATACTGTTAGTGTCCCACCATTGACAAAATATTGAGGGACTGTTAGTGTCCCCACCGTTGACAAAATGTTGAGGGACTGTTAGTGTCCCCACCGTTGACAAAATATTGACAGATTGTTAGTGTCCCCACCGTTGACAAAATGTTGACAGACTGTTAGTGTCCCCACCGTTGACAAAATGTTGACAGATTGTTAGTGTCCCCACCGTTGACAAAATGTTGACAGACTGTTAGTGTCCCCACCGTTGACAAAATATTGAGGGACTGTTAGTGTCCCCACCGTTGACAAAATATTGACAGACTGTTAGTTTCCCCCGGTGACAAAATATTGAGGGGTTAGTGTCCCCTCCATTGACAAATATATTGACATACTGTTAGTTTCCCCCGGTGACAAAATATTGAGGGGTTAGCGTCCCGTCCATTGACAAATATATTGACATACTGTTAGTGTCCCCCACCGTTGACAAAATATTGAGGGACTGTTAGTTTCCCCCGGTGACAAAATATTGAGGGGTTAGCGTCCCCTCCATTGACAAATATATTGACAGACTGTTAGTTTCCCCCGGTGACAAAATATTGAGGGACTGTTAGTGTCCCCACCGTTGACAAAATATTGACAGACTGTTAGTTTCCCCCGGTGACAAAATATTGAGGGGTTAGCGTCCCGTCCATTGACAAATATATTGACAGACTGTTAGTGTCCCCACCGTTGACAAAATATTGACAGACTGTTAGTTTCCCCCGGTGACAAAATATTGAGGGGTTAGCGTCCCCTCCATTGACAAAATATTGACATACTGTTAGTGTCCCACCATTGACAAAATATTGAGGGACTGTTAGTGTCCCCACCGTTGACAAAATATTGACAGACTGTTAGTTTCCCCCGGTGACAAAATATTGAGGGGTTAGCGTCCCCTCCATTGACAAATATATTGACATACTGTTAGTGTAAATGACATACACTGATTTAAATGTGTACTACAGCAGTTAACAATATACACAGGGCTGAGTACACAGCCTCTAATTTCCTTAGATATCTTATAACATACAAGGTGAACTCAGTATCTTTCTGCTTTATTTGGCATCTGGATGACATAACTGAAACAGCAACATGTCACACATCGGAAAGTCTGTACATGAAATACCAAACCTGAAAGGCAGAACTGCTGTTACATGTCGTACCTTGTGCCATCTGCTCTTTATAATGGACTTTCGGTATCGCTCCCGTCACGTGAGTCACACATAGCGCATTTGTAGTGTTATTAGTCTCAAACTTCAGAGTTCCTGTTTTAGATATCGAAGATGCCGTTTGAAATTTCCACTTTCCCAAGAGCACATTTCTAGTTTGGTCACATTTGCCTTTCTTCAGGTAATAATTTGTGGGGTCAATAAACAAACAATCATTTTCAAATTTAAATTCACCTTTTTTTGAAAATGTAAACGAGTTTTCAGGTATGATTCTATATCTAAAACATGCATATGTCATCCCTATGAAATTATCATCTAGGACAGCAAGACAGGCAGAAGTTTTATAATTGGTTATCTCCCCATAGAAAACGGCGTCGATAGGGGGCACCTTCTGCTCCGGGATAATGTTCTTGAGGTACCAACTGAATGACTTACAATTCAAAGTCTTTATAAAGTCTTTTCGTAGCGTTATAGAATTATTGTCCAATTTTGGAAATATCTTATTTTGTCCAGCAGTTACTCTGTAGAAGACATCTTTATAATCATCTAGCCATATTTCCGCTACCCTCATAAGATTTTTCAGTATGACGGTATGTCGATCACCACCAAAACTGTAGCTTTGTACTCCTAGTTTAAAAAGATGTCCGACTTTGGAGCATGGCACTGTCAAAACTCTTCCGGCACACAACCAGTTTTTAAAGGAAAGATCAAAGTGTTCCCCTCCCCAGATATCCAGCCCTTCGTCGAAGCCCCCTATTTTGAAAAAGTGATCCCTTCGTACGACAATTGCGTTTCCCACAAGAACTGGGGTAACAAACGCTTCCATTTTAGACTTCAATGCTTGTTCAACGAATCCCGGAACCTCGAACCACGCATATCTGCAAAAGTCCAAAACAACAGAGAAAAAAATACCATTATGAAAGCAGAATTTCGATTATCGCTCAAATTCGATGAAACGAGGGCAAAATCATCGTCGGACGTCGGGGCAAAACATCAACAAAAGAAAGACTCATACAGAAGCTCCTAAAAAGAGAATAAGACAAGACGTTCCGGAAGAGTCAGCGTCTTCTGTTTCTCTGTGAATCTAAGTGAAATCAAGGTTTACAACAAACGAGGAAATCGGATAACAAAACAACATAAGTTAAAATAAGATACAAAATAAACGGGAAATAAAAACCAGATAAAATTTGTAAATGACGATAATATAAATCTAACAGAGTAACACATCGGTAGTTTGTGTTCAAGCGTTGGAAGAACACTTTCCATCACTCCTTTCAATAATTTTTTCTCTACTAGTTACATAAATTGCCTTTCCTTCGTCACTAAGGCATCGGCTTTTGGACTTTTGCCATCATATTCAAACACCAGAAGGCAATCACATTGTCCATTGCTTCATAATAAACAAATGAATTCAGACCTAATTGAAGCTTTAAAAGTGAGAAGGTAACTAATATCTTATTAATTGAATGTCCAATAGTTCTTTTGAAATAGTTACTGATTTACCCGATGTAGTACTCGTATGAAGAAGACTGAAGTTCAACTAAAGACAACAGCTCGACAGTACGGAACTTTCACGTTAACCTATCATACTGTACACCTAGGTGGTTCGAAAAATGATACAAGTTGCAGACGAATATTCCAAAATAAAAAGTTTTTATCCATCAGAAGAGACCTCTCAAGCTAAAGCATTCCAAAAGGAAACGTTAGGTTTGTCATTTTTCTTTTGATCTACCAGGCAACAGATCGACAGAATCTCTTACTTGACAAGCACGATTCGCCCTGCGAACTAAACACCGACCGAGTGTAACATTATATAAGCTGATACTGGCAGTTTTGTATAAGTATGCACCTACCTCAGGTCCCAGCCGAAACCTCCACGAGAGCGAAGACCGCTGTCTTCGTAACTGTAATATTCCATTGTTTTGCCTTTTATGATATCGATATCTGGTTGTACAATTGCAGTCGGTTCCTCCTGAAGCGCATGTAAAAGTGGCTCCAACCAGCGCGTGTTACACTCCATGTGTGCATCAAAGAACACCAACACGTCACCACTGGCATTCCGAGCTCCGGCCATCCTTGACCTGACCAGTCCTGCCCTGTGACGGTTCCTTATCACTCTGGCTTTGGGTACCAGGGATAGATACATGTCCAGATCGTCCTTAAGGTACGTCATAGTGCTGGCGTCGTCCACGAGTATCACTTCCTTGAGGATTTCCTCGGGGGACCTATCTATAACGCTGTGGACAGTCCGGAGCAAAGTAGACAGAGCCTCGTTGTGGAAGATGGTTACAACAGATACAGTGATTGAGGTGTCAAACGAAAATTTTGTATATTGACATTCCGGATTTCTGTTATCGGGGACTGGACGTCGGACAGACAATGTATCCCCAAGAGATACATTATACCGGAAGTTGCTTGTGTCCACCGCGCCACGATGGCGAGCTAGGATGGTTTGGAGAGTTTGATCCAGTTTTGCCGTGTATTTTTTGTCTTGAATAACGCCTAACCTAGAAAAAAAATGAACAAAACCGATTATTTACTTGAACTTGATAACAGAGGTATTGGCAAATCCTCATATCAATATATCACTATATGACTATGTTAAGACAATTCGTCCCACAGGAAACTGGAATTGGTACTTTTTCAAGAACTTGCTAGGAAATATCACATTTCATCGACATCCAATTTTACACAAACATTTCTTTTTACACCCACCCATCCCCAATTTTTTCATTTGAAATTTCCAAAAAAAGGGATAAATGTTTTCCTTTCACTAAACAAAAAATACACACAGAATTTTAGAAAATCCTCTTTTGTCACCGTCTGGTTCATTCCAGTGGCGGAGGAAGCGAAGGAGGGGTGGGGGAGGCAGGAGGGGGCTTGCCCCCTCACTTTTTGACAACTTCCTACGTCACTGAGATGGTCAACTGTCGGCCATTTATTGTACTTTGATGTGCACGTCAAATTTTGCGACTCACTTTAAAAATAATTGATATTTGCATATTTTCAGCGTTGTTACAAAATTCATTAGAATTATCTAAGAATTTCATAAATAACTTTACCTTGTTAACGATATTACCATGTGATCAAGAACAAGAAGGAGAGAAGAAGAGGAAATCTCAAACCTAATTATAACTAGTTCATACGATGTTGGATGCTAATATCCATCCGGGATCTTTTTGGATTTACCTCTTGTTCTGTATTTGAATCTATAATATGCATTTGTACAATAAATGATATTAACTTTATCATTAGTCTATGTATATATCGCTATAAACATTTAGTATAGGCTTTTGTGAATTAGAGCCAGAATTAGGCTCTAAAATATCGTTATACATTCGTAGATTACATGATGGTGACGTCTCTATGGACACACTAGATATAGGGCCGAGATGATTTTTCTGCAATATATGCCAAAAATATCGATCATGTGACGAAAAGAATCTCACATCGGTTCCTATTTCATGATTTGTATTCCTTCTTCTCGATAACATGAAAATTGCTCATTTCATAAATCACAAAAAAAAAAAAAAATGGAAACTTACGAAAGCTTCTATACACACATAACTAACACGAAAAAGGGCGACACAGAAACTCTCATGAATATATTGTATAAACCATGATTTTGTACAATTAATAAATGAGAGAAACAGTGCTATTTTTAGAAAGGCGAGAAGGTCAATCTTGGGTCGATTTTACAGGGATTTTACATGTTAAAAACAATGGCTGTCAACACAGACATGTACCTTACTTCCCTGATGCGTTTCAGGGTGGTAATGTCTCGCTGGTCATCCTCAAGTCTGCGGGGGGAGTTGGGCAGCGATATCAAAATGATCCACGTCTGTCCGACAATAAACAGAACTATTGCGGGTAGGAATCCACACCGCCTTGCACGGCCCGACTTCGCCATCGTGTCACGTACCTGCGCACGTGGAATCGTGTACATGAGGTGTGACCGTATACACAAATCGCTTTGTGACCCGCCGAGGACACGAGCAAATGCTCTTTATAAGGAAGTAAATGGGACCCTGCATTAAAAAAAATCGTTCACTTTTTTCTTCACTTTATTTTGACAATTCTATTTAAAAGTGAGAATACAAATACAGCCCTAGAGTTTTCTCTAACGGAACAAATATCAAATATCTAATGTATCGGAATATTAGAAAATAACTTCGAAAAAATAAAGAGGCCGAGTGGGCTTGTGTCGTTATCCTGTGTATTGAAGTAATCATCACAAATTGCCAGAACCATAAACAATATTCTCTGTTTTCCTTGGGAACAGAGTTGTTGAAAAGCAAAACAAAAGTAAGTGAAATATTTCAGATATATGTAATCATGCGAATATGTTACGATGGTTGCTTATGAAGTTTCCTGACAATCGGACAAATGTAGGTCGAGTGCATACTATACTATACAATGCTATGCTATGCTATTTTATTCCATGCTATATTATACTATACTATACTTAAGCTGACAATACATTACAGAGACAACCTATACTTAAATTTAACCCTAGAAGGCCGGGACATGAATTTATGCAAGAATTCACGATTGTGATTAAGTAGACTTTATTTCATGACAATCACATAAAAATTGATCTGTCGGTAAATCAAACATGTCGTTTAAAAAAGTCCACTTACAGCAACAGTGATTTTGATTTTATCCCCAGAAGGTCATGCTCGGCGATTGTTGTTCAATAGATCTGGTTGAGATGTTGGTTCCCGTCGTTGTATGATCTTTACTAGTCCTATGTATGTTGGATATATCCCATCTATACTCTTATAGTTCTTATACTGTTTGTGTGGATGATAGGTGAACCAATCAACCCAACATACGGCTCCCACGAAATTGAAGAAAAAATTCTGAAATACTCTCTGAGAAATAATCATGATTATCTTGATTTGTCAGTATCCAAGATGGCCATTTTTTGCACAAAAATATCCAAAGATAACCTAGATATGAAATGTGATCCGGTTTAAAATGTTTAGCCACCAGTAAGTAAAATGGAAAAGTTACATGTGGAATTTGGGAAATTTCCATTTACTACTTGTCAAGAAACAGCGATAATAACCTTCATCTGTCAAAATCCAAGATGGCAATCTGTCAGCCATTTCATTTTTCTGATCAGTCTTCAAAATTAAAAGGGAACAGCTAAGCACTAAGTAAATCCTACATATTCAAATTTGAGAAATATTCTTTAAATACTTCTCAAGAGTGATACGGTAAAAGCCCCAATTGACAAATGACAGTTCCTTTCACAAAACAGCGATAACTCCATGTATTTTAAATATTAGCAAAGGGCTGGTAACAGACGTTCAGATGACGGACGGACGGACACAGGGCGATTAACAGTCTACCATCAGACGATGGTCCAAAGTCCACAGAGCGAGGACGTGGAAAATCTATTTTTGGCAAGTGATCTCGGTAATCTTCCAGACTGGTCAGGACGTGAACTCGTGCACGAATTGATTGGTTATAAATACAAGTTTTTGGTTATTTTCGAAAGAATCCGATATGAAAATAATTTAGTCATATGAAATAGATGACTGTGACTTACTCAATTAGTTTTCGCCACTCTTTAAATACATTAAACCTATCTGAGAACAAAACATCTACATACTTATCTATGTTCACTCTGATGTTGGGGTTCGAAGAACTGAAACAATCAAAATATTTATTTTGCTTCCCCCTCCTAACTTTGACACCCAAAATATGTTTTGAAACACATATTACATGCAGTGTACCTTAAAGTATCTTTTCATAAACAGCAGGAGGTGTAAATGTGAGGTCCCAGACTGGTCCGAATCAGCATCCATCCGTTTTTGAGAACTTTGACCTGTATGCTTTTCCTCTACATACTTGTGCCTAATCCCGATTGTTTGATGACAATAAAAATGTTTAAATCAATCAATCAATCAATCAATCTACGTTTTTTTGATAAATCAATCCTTTGGACCGTTCAGAAGTGATCAATTTCAAATAGTTGAAAAGGGCCAAATAACATTGTATCTTACATTGACATTTAACCCTTGCGTAGCTACAAACCCGTAGTGTTCAAGAGGAAGACTTCGTTGACCTTTGACATGACCTAGGATATCATGCCTAATGTTTTTTAAGGAAGAGGAATACCTTTTTACAGGAAATGCTTCTTGCAAAACTTTGTTGTAACCCGTTGAATATAAACTTTGAGAGCAATCGTTAAGGAAAAAATGAGAGGACAGATGGACGCTATAACATAGCAGTAGGTCACATGACCTCAGCGAAAGTTATTAAAAAAACACTTTAGTTTTATGCCTTTGGAACTTATTGAATATGAAAATATAACAAAACCACACTCGTGCATTTCACATGTTGCATACATTTGTGATTTTCATGCAAGTTTATACATAAAAGCCCAATTTTGGTAGAGCGCTCCGGAGTTCGAACTACTATTGCATTCTACAGCTTGCACCATCTGTTCTCTAAAATGGACGTTGGGTACGACAGCTGTCACGTGTCTCACACAAAGCATATGAACTCCAGCCATTACCTCGAATTTCAGATTTCCCGATAACGTGGCAGGATTATCGGTTTGGAACAACCACCTTCCGGCTAGTAAACCTGGTTTTCCATCACATGCGTCTACTTTCAGAAACAGGTTCTGGCTATCGACAAAGATACATTTATCGTTGTATTTGAATTCACCGTTCTTTGTAAAAGTAAACGAATTAAAAGGCAGAATTCTATACTTAAAACAATCAAAAGTGATGCCTATGAAATTGTCATCCAAGACCGTAAAGCATGCCGATGTCTTGACATTGGTTATCTCCCCATAGAAAGCGGCGTCAGTAGGGGGCACCTTCTGTTCCGGAAGGACCGTCTTAAGGTACCATCGAAATGGTTTACAGTTCAAAGACTTAATGAAATCCTTTTGTTTTTTCAGGGATTTCAGGTCCAGCACTGGGAAATTAGCATTCCGTCCACCGCTTACTTTGTAGAAAATATCTTTATACTCGTCCATCCATATTTCCGCTACTCTCATCAGGTTCTTTCGAATAATCATGAAGCGGTCTCCTTCGAAACTGTAACTATGGCCCTCCTTGAAAAGATGTCCGACTTTGGAGCATGGAACAGTCAACACTCTCCCTGCACACATCCAGTTTTTAAAGGACAAGTCGAAGTGTTCCCCTCCCCATATATCCAGCCCCTCGTCAAAGCCACCAATCTTAAGAAAGTGATCACTCCGTACAGCAATGGCGTTTCCCACGAGGACGGGAGTTATGAAGGGAGTAGTCTTTGATGTTATGCCCAACTCCAAGTATTCTGGCATCATAAACCAAGAGTACCTGTGATAGTATAAGGAAAATGACAAGTTTGATATACAGTTGTTAAACAAAACATTTCATACACTTGTTTAAAAACAAAAAAGGTCTTCTAATATTGATATTAGGGTAAGTTACGCGTTTGAATATCTGCCAGTTTCCTTCCTTCGATTCTAATACGTATGAATACGTTCGGAGAATAACTTTGGTGGATCTCTTACCTTAGATCCCAGCCGAATCCCCCACGGAACCTTGGTCCTCTGTTGTAGGCGTAATATTCCATCGTCTTAGCGGCTATCACGTCAACCACAGGCTGTAAGATAGCTGTCGGTTCCTCCTGGAGCGTGTATAGAAGTGGCTCCAACCAGCGCGTGTTACACTCCATGTGTGCATCAAAGAATACCAACACGTCACCACTGGCATTCCGAGCTCCGGTCATCCTTGATCTGACCAGTCCGTCCCTGTGACGGTTCCTTATCACTCTGGCTTTGGGTACCAAGGATAGATACATGTCCAGATCGTTCTTAAGGTACGTCATAGTGCTGGCGTCGTCCACGAGTATCACTTCCTTGAGGATTTTCTCGGGGGACCTATCTATAACGCTATGGACAGTCCGGAGCAAAGTAGACAGAGCCTCGTTGTGGAAGATCACTACAACAGACACCGTAAGTAGGGTATCTATGGTATAAGTGATGCGTTGACATTCGGCATGCCTAGTATCAGGAACTGGACGCCGGATGGATAAAGTGTCTCCAGCGGAGATATTGTACGGGAAATGTTTGATGTCGTCTGAGTTCCGGTGACGGGTAAGGATGCTTTGCAGAGTTTGGTCCAGTTTTGACGTGTATATTTCCTCCTCAGTGACGTCTCGTCTGAAACGTTTAAATACAACCTATTGAAAGTTTTCATGTTATACGAAGGTTTTGATTATTGGTGAAATGGTTTGATTTTCCTTTCCGTAACTTGGTTATTTTGGTTAAAACAGTAGTATCGCCACGCGTAAGAATACACATACATTAATGCAGTAAAAGTAGTCCCAGAACAAGTTACTCCGCGTGTCAATTGTACTACATACGCAACAGAACGCAACGTTGTCATAAACTATTTAAAAACAGATATATCCAGAACAAATTTGTACAAAACATTAAATCTGTAACTGCCTCACCTTCAACCAGGGGGTTCGGCGTATTTAGTATGAATCTTGCATAATTTGGTCTACACGTGCAGCATTGCAGCGAGTATCCACTTCGAAAGCACGTGGTAAGTGATGAATAAGACATCCACGATTTAAAAAAAAACTTCTGAATAGCAATCTGGTGCACACCGTTACTTGGTGTAAGACCATTGAAGATACAGTTTTCTGTATCAAAATGCGTCCAATTCTTTAAATAACTGGAATTACACGCTATGTTTAGAATGTATGTGACAAGATATGAAAGAATTGACATTCTACATCTGAAACAGAATACTGTCGTTACCAGATAATCTGAAGAATCTAGGAGGTTTTACTCACTTGTCCCTGAAACATATTTATACGAATAAACCAAATTAGGCACAATGGTGTTCTCTGTTACTGCCCTTTTCCACTATACCCAGGTGACACTTTGACACATGTTTAACTCTGTTACTGCCCTTTTCCACTATACCCAGGTGACACTTGGACACATGTTTAACTCTGTTACTGCCCTTTTCCACTATACCCAGGTGACACTTGGACACATGTTTAACTCTGTTACTGCCCTTTTCCATTATACCTAGTTGACACTTGGACACGTGTTTAACTCTGTTACTGCCCTTTTCCACTACACCCAGGTGACACTTGGACATATGTTAAACTCTGTTAATTCCCTTTTCCATTATACCTAGTTGACACTTGGACACGTGTTTAACTCTGTTACTGTCCTTTCCCACTATACCCAGGTGACACTTGGACACGTGTTTAACTCTCTTACTGTCCTTTTCCACTATACCCAGGTGACACTTGGACACGTGTTTAACTCTGTTACTGCCCTTTTCCATTATACCTAGTTGACACTTGGACACGTGTTTAACTCTTTTACTGCCCTTTTCCACTACACCCAGGTGACACTTGGACATATGTTAAACTCTGTTACTGCCCTTTTCCATTATACCTAGTTGACACTTGGACACGTGTTTAACTCTGTTACTGCCCTTTTCCACTACACCCAGGTGACACTTGGACATATGTTAAACTCTGTTAATTCCCTTTTCCATTATACCTAGTTGACACTTGGACACGTGTTTAACTCTGTTACTGTCCTTTCCCACTATACCCAGGTGACACTTGGACACGTGTTTAACTCTCTTACTGTCCTTTCCCACTATATCCAGGTGACACTTGGACACGTGTTTAACTCTCTTACTGTCCTTTCCCACTATACCCAGGTGACACTTGGACACGTGTTTAACTCTCTTACTGTCCTTTCCCACTATACCCAGGTGACACTTGGACACGTGTTTAACTCTCTTACTGTCCTTTTCCACTATACCCAGGTGACTCTTTGATACGTGTTTAACTCTGTTAATGTCTCCCTCCAATTATAGACAAAGAGGGATAATCTTGGATTTTTTTCAACTAGTTTCAAGCTCCATCCGTTGGGTTAGGTTCTAGGAAGTCTCGTGAGGCGAACAATGTGGGATCTGTGCTAAATCTACCTCAGACAATTGTAAGATACATTCATAGACATATAATTTGTTTCATAATTCCTTTCACCATTTACAATGATAATCTGTACCGCAGAGTGTGGAAGTCCAGGTCTAAATATGTAAACACATCAGGTAAGACTTACTTATATGTCATTTCACTATGTCTCTGTGCCAGAGCTGCGTTTTCCATCGCTATCTGACGGAAGGATTGTGGAAGGGACATAAGGATGATCCAGGTCTGCCCTAGAATGAACAGGAGAAGAACAGCCAGGAGTCTCCGGAACCCACATTTTGCTCGCGCTGACCTCGCCATTGTGTGTCACGTGTCATAGTAAACTACACACGCACGTCAAACAGACACAGGCGGTCGAGAACCTGGATATGTGATCCTTTGATAATGATTGGGGCCGTGCCCTGCAAAGTATTAGTTTGAATGGACGGTTAATAACGTAGCCGTAATTACGACGAAGAGAATTGTTTTTGATTATAAGAATTTAGTTCTGAGTGACAACACTAGTATACATTTATATATATTTTTTTATTTTTCATTCGCCATTTCTTGATGAGAACATCGGACATTTTCGCTTTCGGAAAACTACGTCAAGAGTATTTCTCTTCCGAATCTGTATCGCACACTGTTGAAGTTGATGCTGATGTATGAACAGTACAAACTTGGTGAATGTCCAGGACCCTATTACAACTCCGAACATATTGCATGATGTTGTAACAGCAGTTTCCATGTTAGAAATATGAAGTATATCAGTGTGTTTACAGTCAAGTGTGTAATAAAATTTCAGTGTTTTATACTCCAGTGTGTTTAAACTCCGATGTATTTATAATATTTAAACCGCAACGTTTTTACAATCCAAAGTGTTTAAACTGCTAAGTGTTTACAAACAAAAGTGTTTAAACTCAGACGTGTTTACAAACAAAAGTGTTTAAACTGCGACGTGTTAGCAATCCAAAGTGTTTAAACTGCGACGTGTTTACAATCCAAAGTGTTTAAACTGCTAAGTGTTTACAAACAAAAGTGTTTAAACTCAGACGTGTTTACAAACAAAAGTGTTTAAATTGCGACGTGTTAGCAATCCAAAGTGTTTAAACTGCGACGTGTTTACAATCCAAAGTGTTTAAACTGCGACTTGTTTACAAACCAAAGTGTTTAAACTGCGACTTGTTTACAAACCAAAGTGTTTAAACTCCAACATATTTACAATCCAAAGTGTTTAAACTGCGACGTGTTAGCAATTCAGTGTTTAAACTGCGACGTGTTTACAATCCAAAGTGCTTAAAATGCTAAGTGTTTGCACACCAAAGTGTTTAAACTCCGACGTATCTGGCGTATTAATAATCCAAAGTGTTTAAACTGCGACGAATTTACAATCCAAAGTGTTTAAACTCCGACGTATTTACAATCTTAAGTGTTTAAACTCCGACGTATTTACAATCCAAAGTGATTAAACTGAGGGGTGTTTACAATCAAAAATGTTTAACTCCGACGTGTTCATAACCCGCTGGGGTATGGCAAATCAAATGTTTCTTCACTGAAGAAAACTCACTACTCTAGTGAGCGTGTGGATTTTGATCTTATGTGTAATGTTCATCTACTTTCATAATCAAATAGCGATGAAAATTATTCGAATTTGCCAAACTTACTTAAGTGCCGTACGCTCCACCGAGCTGAATTGAAGTTCTTTTTATCCTTAGCGAGACTTCTGGTTTATTTGTGTTTAAGTTTGAACTACGGGCAAAATTTTGTGCGTTGAAACTAGTAAACTAAAAACAGAATTTAAAACAAAATGAATAGATAAATTAATAAACAAACAAATCAATATGCTTTTGTATGCTGATTCCAATATCCATAGTAATCCTCTTTTCTGATTTTTACTCGACGCGTTTTCTTTATTTTACAAATAACCATATTCGTTAATCCTGGTATATGTGTGACTGCCATGAAACCTGCTTTCCTGATTTTTGCTCGACACGTTTTGCTTTATTTTACAAATAACCATATTCGTTACTCTTGATCCACGTGTGTTTGACATGAAAAATATGCTTTATCAGAATGTTCAGCTTTCTAAGTCGACGGACGAACGGTAACAACCATACTTTTCTTCATAAAGCCGATTAACTCTCGTAAACGATTTGATTTCTGGTTTACAGGTTTTCAGTAAACAAACCTCTCCTACACAATGGACTAGTTTATGTATCCAAATTTGAATCAATAGGCTACAATATGTAAAACTAAGCTGATTTTGCAGTTAAATGTAAGTTAGGTTTACTGAATTCTGTGGTACCACTGTTGCTGAACACTGGCGTTAGAGTTATCTCTCTTTGTCTCAAATTTATTATCAATAGTTAAAAGCAGTCCAGGTTTGTTTTGTGGGGGTGTTGGGGTGGGTAAGGAAAGGGGTGTTGGGAAAAGGAGGGGGGGGGAGGGGGGGGAGAGAAGTTGCACGTGTTCATGCAATTCCATAACATATCGCGGTGGAGCAGTTCTACAGACATAAAATGTGATGATTATTTTTTTTTAAGTTTTTTATTTAAACATATTTTATTGTCAAGAAAACAAGCAAACGTGTTAGGCACAAGTTATTACAACATTATTTTAGCCCTCTCAACAAATTATAACAAACAAACATTATGACAAATGATTTATTATTATTTCCAAAATCAAAATATAGAGGTGGCTGGTACTGATTAGAAGACATGTTGTGTTTAAAGATTTTTCACGAAGAGTTGAAGGTAAAAATGAGGCGTTTGAACTGGAAAGTCTATAGTTATGAATTAAGAAATCGAAGTGGTTTCGTAATGGGTATCGAGTAATTTGACCAACAGCATGCGGCATGATAGAGTTAAGAAAATCTGGAGTTAACTTGTTTTTTTTCATTTTATATAAACGGAGTTTACGCTGTTTCCTCCTTTCAGAAAGTGGTTCTAATCTAGTTTCAACATATAAAGATTCACTGCTTGCGAAAGATGGCACTCCTGTGATTATATGGATGGCTTCACTTTGGGGTTTTTCTAATAAAGTTGATTCATATACAGTAAAGCCAGCCCATCCTTCACAAGTGTATTCAAGGACTGGTAGTATAAAACACTTACATATTTTAAGTAGTGTGTCACGCTCGAGTGTATATCTAAGTTTACGTAAGACAATAACTTTATTCCTTACTGATTTATATATACCTTCAATGTGGTAATTCCATTTACCTTTAGAATTGAGCGTAATCCTAAGTATTTGTGGCTTACACCAAAGTTTAGAAATTCATTATCAAATTGTAACCCCAGATTTTCTGTTATGTTGTAAGCATTTGAAATAAAAAGTACATCAGTTTTGCTAGGATTAAAATCTACTGACCATTTTTGTCCCATTTATTTTAAAGATTCAAGGTCTCGGTTCAATGAAATTTCGATCTCTTGACAAGATGATTAAATGGACATCAGTGAAGTATCGTCTGCAAAAAGACGATAATCTGAATGCAAAACATCAGAAATATCATTAATTAAAAATAAGAAAAGGAAGCAGTCCAAGAATAGACCCTTGGGGAACACCGGCGTTTATAACACCAGTATCAGTAAATGAGTTTGAAACTAATACCTTCTATTGTCTATTAGATATATCATTTTTCAACCAATTTAATAAATCTCCTGAAATGCCATATGATTTTAGTTTAATCAATAATCCCTTATGTCAAACGTGATCAAACGCCTTGGACATATCGCAAAATGTTACGCATGTCTTTTTTTTTTCTCAAGAGCTAAACAAATACTATGATATATCTCAGTTAATTGGTAAACAGTAGAGTGGTTTGGCATGAAACTGGACTGGTACTTGTATAAAACAAATGGTTTTGCATGAAACAATTATGAGTATGTTTATATGTTACTCCAAAATTTTACCTATCGCAGATAGTAATGAAATTGGTCTGTAATTACACGGAAAGGGTTAATCACCATTTTTAGATAGTGGTATTACCGGTATTTGCAAATAGATGGGTACACACCAGACGGTAAGGAAAACTTTAAAAGTATTTCAAGTGGTTTAGAAACCATTTGTGTTTTACATTTTCACATTTGATGATTTTCTGTCGTGACCAGAGGCTTTACCTAGTTTTAAGATTTGGAGGATGTCTATTATCTGAGATTATTTTACCTTTAAAGAATTCAATATTTTATCGTTTAATCCTCAATAACCGGTAGCTCAGCATTTATATCGTTAACATAAGTAATAGAGCAAAAATAATTATTTAGAACATTTGCTTTATCATCATTATCTTTTTAACTACAGCAAACACGTTATACAGATCTTTGGTTACCTCTCAGAATATCACGCCTTCGCTAGACTACAGGGTAAACATGATTTAACAGGGAACATGGGTTCGTTTATCCGCCAAAGACCTGCATAAAACCATTAAAGACTATATTCCAATCCGATGAAACTAAAGCGACTTATGAACAAAAGAAAGATTTACCTGAAGACTTCAGTATTTAAGAATAAGACCAGACGCTCCAGAAGTTCAAGCATCTTCTTCCTAATTTACGTACGACACTCGCCATGTAAGTCTTGGTCAGTCTAAGTAAGAAATGCCACGTTCCGAGATGAAAGCACTACAAAACAAAAGACAGGTTGAAAGATACCAAAGGGGCGTATTTTTTCTTTTGGTGTTTTAAGTCAGGTTGGAAAGGTACCTTGCGGTTGCTATTTCAAATTTTAGATAATAAAACAACTATCTTATAACAATAGAATAGAAACTAAAGAACATTGATGGTGTATCAAGTGAAGTGATTGTTTAGGTAGGTAAAAGTTAATGAAATAACTCACGGGCAATGTTAATTATCATTAAAGTTTCAGACTTTTTTATGAAAACTGATGAAATTTCAGTTTATCATTTTCACAAAAAATAGTCACTTGGCCAATTGTAGTTGGGAGGGAGTGCTCCCGTTCAAACTGGTGACCAGTGAAAATGTATCGACCTACAAATATCCCTTCAAGGTTTCCCATGTAAATGAAAACATACTAATAGCATTTTCACCAATCTAGACAATCTAGATCAGGGCTCGTAAACCTTCGTCACTTTCCTAAAACGAGTAAATGTGTCGAAAATTGCTAAAGGGTCCTAAGCTGGCATGAAATTAATTGAAAGGTGTTTTTTCACGAGTGTGCATTTTACACAATATTTCACATGTCGAGGGGCACCACTTGTTAATCATTTTGCATGCATATGCCAAAATATGATGGAGATATATATTTTTTCAATGTTGATGAAATTTCATTTGAAAGGTCTATAAATCACGTGAGTGAACCATGAC